CCAGATTCCCACCCTCCTCCTCCTTGTGGGCATGCTGCCCTCCACTCTCTGTCCTGGCACATGCCCCATAGACACTATTCATCTGATGTTCCTTGGCCCCTCCCTGCATATCCCCCATATCTGGTGCTGCTTCTCCACTGCTCACTGGCCCCTCCACCTTCGCATAGCTCAGATTCAGCTTCTCCAGGATCCCCTGCCCTCCCATGCAGGCACAGCCCATAGGCATGGCTCTCCGGTGCACACCCTGGGCACCACCCACGCAAGCCTCGCTCCTTCCCAGACTGAGCTCTGACTGCGCAATAACCTCGGCCATGTTTAGAAATCTTGCTTTAGTGCAAACCTTTGTGACAGTCTCTAATCCGCAGCTGGCAGCTCATGCTGCTGCAGGGAACATTCCTTGTGTTCCTGGGTGGTGGAGGGCACAGGTCCTGGTGCCTGGGAATTGAGCCAATTCCCTACAGCGGCCTCTGTGCTTCTCTGGAGGAAGGTGGCAGAGGGCTGGCAAGCCCCAAGGTACCTTTCCCATCCCCAGACAGCCACGGAGCCCCCTGCTCCTGCAGGTGTGAGCATGAGGGAGATTGCACCAGCAGGGAAATGGGAGAGGGCACCAAGACAAGACTGGGATGGAAGGTGACCAGGAATGGAGCTGGGAATGGACAGAGACAGGCCTGGGCAGGGAGATTGGAATGGGGAGGGGAATGGACTAGGATAGCTGCAGTGGGACTGACATGGGGCTGGAGGGACTAGGGGAGGTGCAGGATGAGAAGGAGAGTGGGTAACAGAGGGAGGTGAACACTGTCCCGAGACAGACTTCGTGGGGAGCCTCTCCAGGGTGGGAGGGGTCAAGGCCCCAGATGGAATCTCACTCTCCTTCTCCTTCCCCCAGGGAAATGCTATTTCTCCCTATCGCTCTTGATAACAACCCTGCCCATTTTATCAGGGCCAAGGTCTCTGTGCCAGGCATAGGCCAGGTGGCTGCATGCCTGAGAGGCGAGGGATTGGCAGGAAGGGCCCCGAGGGCTGGGGAGCTGCACGGGGGCCTCTGGCCAGACACAGCGTAAGCCCAGCTGAGGAGCCCGCACTGTGTGTGTGTGTATGGGGGGGCAGAGAAGAACCCTGGCAGAGCTCATGCTGCCAGCACAGTCTGCTACAATAACCACTGCTCAGCTGTGGGTACAGCCATCCCCTCTCCCCACAGCCAGGGGTCCTGCTCTGCAGCTTCCCACCCTGCTGCCTGGGGCCCATCCATTCTGCAGGGCATTCCTCGCACTCCAGCACTAAACTCTCAGACCAGTTGGCAGAGGCTCCAGGGAGGCAGGTCAGAGCTGACTCTCCCAAGCCATACCTCAGACAGGACCCTTTTGAGGAGGGCACCCCTTCCTCCCGCAAGATTGCTACACTGTGTAACACAGAGCCCTGAGCCAAGCCCCCTCCCAGAGACAGGCAGGGCACCTGGCAGTGCTTGCTCCTTTGCCACAGCAAATTCCAGCCCAGCTCAGCCCTTTCCTGCCCCATGGAGCAAGCGCTGAGATGGGGGACCTCAGCAGACACCCTGTGGTCCCAGGTAGGGTGGGGTCTCTGCACAGACACACATCCTGCCCCCAAGATCTTAGCAGCAGATTTACAAGCACTCAGCCTGAAGCTCCCCCTGGCGCTGACCACACACTGTACCCAGAGCCCCAGACCTGCCCCTCTGACACCAGTGGGCAGGGTTCTTCCCACCATCCCGTCCACAAACCACACCGATTCAGTGCATCTCCTGGCACTGTAGGAGGAAATGATGCAACCTGCGGAGAGTAATCGCTCCCCGGGACGCCGCCTGTGCAGATCCCTCGAGTGCTAGCACAACCCTTAAAACTAAACCACATGCCACAGCTTCCCCTGAGTCACCCCAGCCCTGATGCAAGCAGCACTTCCAACCAGCAGCATGTGCTAGCAGACAAGAGGCAGGATGCAGAGACCCTGGGGCTGCAGCCTAGTCCAGCCACAGAGCTGGGTGTGGGCTTGGTGCTGGAGGCCAGTTGGGAGTAAGGGGGGTGTAATGGAGGGTCAGCAGGGGGCTGAGATGAGGTGGGGGTGACAGGGGGTGATGAGGGGAGGATGACGAAGAGGTGGGGGGGGGTCATACTGGAGTGAGACAGCGACAAAGACAATGTAAGGAATACTAGGGCCTGACTGCACAGCACCCTGCGGCATCCTGCCCAGGACTCACTACTCTGTGCCCATGGCTCAGTCTGTCTAGGCTCTCCAACTGCACTCACTGCTGTGTTCTCAGTGCCCGCCTGGCTCTCAGCCGTCTAGAGCTGCCGCACGCTCTGAGCTCCCAGGAAACCCCTGTACATGGACAACACAACTGCAGCCTCACTCTTGTATTGACCCCCCCCGGGAACTTCCAGCCTGGAAACGTGACAGCACCCCCCAGCTATAGTACCCCCCAGTGCCCCCTGCAGCACAGACACCTCTGCATCCCCACTCCCTGGGCTCAGCACCAGCCCTCTCAGCACCTGACCGATAGAGCAAAGACCCTTACCCACAGCCAGAAAACATGCCAGGCACAAGCCCAGCACCTAGAATGCAAACATACACTGGGCAGCGAGGGGGAACAAATCCAAAACAGCCCCAGATCCCTGCACAGAACAATCACACTGTGATACAGACATCACTGCAGCCACATGTGCAGAAACAGACAAGCCCTCACCAAATACAGACTCAGTGACCATAAACCAGGGGTGAGGACCAGCTGGCACAAAGCATATGCCAAACTCACAGAGCAGTGACTGTCCAGCCAGTGGACAGAGAAGAGAGATTTCAGAGCAGCAGCCGTTTTAGTCTGTATTCGCAAAAAGAAAAGGAGGACTTGTGGCACCTTAGAGACTAACCAATTTATTTGAGCATAAGCTTTTGTGAGCTACAGCTCACTTCATTGAATAAGTGAGCTGTAGCTCACGAAAGCTTATGCTCAAATAAATTGGTTAGTCTCTAAGGTGCCACAAGTCCTCCTTTTCTTTTTAGAGAAGAGAGAGAAAGAGAAACTTTCTAGTCCAATGTCTCACAGCAAAGGAACAAACGGAAATTAGACTCCAACTATCAGGAATCCTAAGCAATATCTTACCAGAGTAAAGAACTGCTGGACCCTGGAGATGGAAAGAAACAGCCCCACTCTATGGAACCACCTGCCCTGGGGCAGGGATGGGCAGGAACAACAAATGGACCCAGGGGATCAAACCCCAAAGACATGAAGCACTGACCTGAGCGAATCGTAACCCCACCTCCGACAGAGACTGCGGTGGACTGTTTCTTCCTTGCACTTTGCAGCACTTGTCTAGTCAGTCATGACAATCAAGTCTTACTGAACTGAAGTGTGTGACAGTCCCTAAGAGCCTCTATCACTGAGACATGACCACAGCCCTTCCGCTGTATCACAGCCTCCTGGCCTTGCACTGAGATGTGGCTGAATTTATTCCTCCAGCAGAATAGAGCATGACTGATGCTGTTTGGAAAAAAACATCACTGCACTTTTCTCTCCTGCTCCCCAGGCACCTCATCGATTTCCAAGGGGATTCAGGCAGGTTCTGTGATAGCCCAGCGCTGCACTAAGGGGCCATAGACGTGAGTGTGAAATGGCCCCTATTGGAGCAGTGTATCTGAGCAAGCTCACAGCCAACAGACCAACGCTACAGAGGAAAAGCACCATCAACCAGCTCAGCATTGGAATATCCATGCAGCTGTTTCAGGTCCATCCCCATATGCCTCTCCTTCCCCCAGCACCTTATTGCCCATGTGGCTGTGCCATAAATCTTGACAGCCTCACTGCCCAGGCAGCTGTGCCAGGCCGCCGTCTGAGTTGCTGACCATACCAGTCACATGCCATCGCTTTCCCCTGAGTGTTAGAGCTGCAACTGCCAAGTTGACATTAATCCCTTTGAACTGATGGAAAAAGGAATTAATGTGTGGAAAGGGGTGTGGGGCCCAGCGAGGAGAAAGGGGGGGCTGCAGGAGATGGCTCAGGAGCTGTATGCAGAGAGCGGGCGAGGTGAGCAGGAGAGATGAGGGGTGTGTACATGGTGGGAAGAATGGGACCATGTGCTAGGCAGGATGTCAGCCTGTATGACTATCATGGTCCCTTGTGGCTTTAAGTCCTATAAGTCTGTGCACATAAGGAGGGGACTAAGGTGAGGGAAAGGGGGTACAGAATCTATACATGGTGGGTGAGCGAAAGGGGGCACAGGATCTATACATGGTGGGGGTCATGGGGTCTCAGCCAAAGGGGGTGGAGGGTCGGTACGGCTGTGTACACAATGCTTGTTTAATTGGCAGAATGCCTGGTGGGGAGATGTTGCTGTGGTTACACCTGACCAGGCTATTCCAGTTTGCAGGTCTGCTGGGTTCTCCAGGGTCAATACAGCTGGCAACCTTCCCTGCATTGTGGTGCCATTTGTGGGTGTCAAGGTGAAGCTGGGAGAAATTCCATCCCCACTGACTGAACTTTTGGTGGGAGTCCCCGGGGTTTAGCTGCTGCTGTGACGGGTGCCCTGGCTGCGTGCGCTGGTCCAGCAGATGCTGAGAGACAGGAAGCGGGTCTAGGATTTGGGCTGGGGGACTGTGGGCAGGAACTGACGCACTGTCTGTGCAGGAGCATTCCTCCAGCAGGGCTCTCCTTGGCCAAGATGAGTAAGATGATGAATGGCTCATGGGGAGCTGCCTTAGAACGAGTGCAGGGCAAGAGGTCCTGCGGCTGAAAGGCTGATCCATGCCTGAGGACAGGCAACAGTGACACTGCTCTCCTGGCAGACAATTGCCCCATGACACAAACAGGACATGCTTCAGTCAGCCCTCTTGGGATGTGTTAGAGAACCAGCAGGGAGACACCAGCCAGCCCTGTGGGGAGCAGAACCATCACCATATACCCTGCGCCCCATCTCTCCCTAGAGTGAGCAGCCAGACACCAGAGAGCTGTGTGTGGCCAAGGGAACCAGAGACGGAGTCTGGGATCTACTCACCTTTCTTTTTGGGGTGAGAAGCGTGCTCTGAGCCATGCTCGTCCTCAGTCCAGCCCAGGGCAGCCAGCAGCAGGAGAGAGAGACCCAGCCTGGTGCAGCTCATCCTCTAACAAGTACCAGTTCAGTGGGACGGCCCCACTTCTCCACTGCAGAGCCTGCCTCTGGCTGCCAGAGCCGCAGCAAGCTGTGCTGGGCGGCTGGAGCTGAACTGTGTCTACGTGAGAGGGAGAGAGAGAGAGGGCAGGAGCGGGAGGGGGCAGTGAGTCACCAGCCTTTACCTTTTATAGAGACTGCAGGCAAAGTCTGCGGGGCAGGTGAAGGGTGAAATACATGCTGCACTGGGAGCTTGCCTGAAGTTCAATGTCATTGCCAGCTGGGGGGTCTGGGCTGGGACCAGGGTGTGCATACACTGAGCCTTAACATGGACTAGAGCCAAGGGACGCTCCCGGAGCTTGAACAGGGTTTCCTTTTCAGACAACCTACCAGCAATGCAGCTCAAACACAGCCACAGCTCTTCTCCCATAACAACGGGGCCTGGGACCGACCCTCCATTATCCCCATAACCACAGCTCCCCTCCAATACCAGTGGGGCCTGGGACTGACCCCTCCATGAGCCCAATAACCACAGCTCCCCTCCCATACCAATGGGGCTGGGACTGACCCCTCTGTGAACCCCATAACCACAGCTCCTCTCTCATAACAATGGGGCCTGGGACTGACCCCTCCATGAGCCCCATAACCACAGCTCCTCTCCCATAGCTATGGGTCCTGGAAAAAAACCCTTAGTGAGCCCCATAACCACAGCTCCTCTCTCATAGTAATGGGGTGTGGAACCAACTGTTCCATGAGCCCATAACAACATAACCTCCTATAGCAATGGGCCTGGGTCCAACTCCTCTGTGAGCCCCATAACCACAACTCCTCTCCCATAGCAACAGGGGCTGTGGCCTGGCCCCCTCCCCCTGTAAGCCCCATAAACACACCTCCCCTCCCCTGGCAATGGGACCTGAGAACTGACCCCTCTGTGAGCCCTAGAAGCAGAGCGCCCTTCTCACAGCAATGGGATCTGGGGATAGATTCCTCCATGAGCCCCATAAACAGAGCATTTGTGACCCATCCACTTATAACTACACCCCCCACCCTTCCTATGACACAGAGGGCTCAGGAGCCCACGCCCCAAGGGGACGCCCTTTGACAGGAGAGTGAGGCCTGAGGCAGATATTGCCCTCATTCCACTGCTCAGCAGAGTTAAGGACAATACAAAGGAGTTTAAGTATATAGAGAGAATCCTAACAGTGATCATAGTCTATAGCTAGATGGGCATGGTAGACCTGTCAATAATAATACAGAAAAGGCAGAAGTGTTTGGTAAACATTTCAGCTCTGTATTTGGGAAATAAACAGATGATGTGTTCATATCCTATTATATGTTGATGAAATACATTCCATTCCAATAGCAACCGAGGAGGATGTCAAACAGCATCTACTACTGTTAGACATTTCTACATCAGCAGGTCCAGATAACTTGCATCCAAGAGTATTAAAGGATCTGGCTGAGGAACTCACTGACCATTAATGTTGATTTTTAATAAGTCTTGGAACACTGGGAAAGTTCCAGAGGAGTGGAAGAAAGCTCTTGTGTCAACATTTAAAAAGGTAAATGGGATGACCCAGGTTACTTTAACCTGTCATCCTGACACTGATCCCGAGCAAAATCATGGAATGGTTGATTTAAGACTTGATTAATAACTAACTAAAACAATGTAATATAATTAATGCCAATCAACAGCTATGTCTGAGAACAGGTCTCATCAAAGTAACATACCGTTTTTTGATGAGATCACAAGTTTGGCTAACAAAGCTCATAGTAATATTTAGACATCTGTGAGGTATTTGACTGGGCACTGCAGGACATATTGATTAATAAACTACAGTGATATAAATTTAACATGGCAAACATCTAATGGATTACAGACTGATTACACCGTAGGTCTCAGAATGTAATTATAAATGGGGAGTCATCGTCAGAGTGGGTGTGTTTCTAATGGAGTCCTGCAAGGATCAGTTCTTGGCCTTACACCATTAAACATTTTTATCAATGACTTGGAAAAAAACAAAATTTTTACTGATAATGTTTACTGATAAAGGTGACAAAGATTAGGGAAGTGGTAAATAATGAAGAAGACAGGTCACTGATAATACAGAGGGATCTTGATCACTTAGCAAATGGGACACAGGCAACAATATGCATTTAAATACATCCAAATGCAAGGGCATACATATAGGAACAAAGAACGTGGGACATACTTACAGGCAGGGGGACTTCATCCGGGGAAGCAGTGACTCTGAAAAAGAGTTGGGCGTTCTGGGGGATAATCAGCAGATCATGAGCTCCCAGGGTGACCAAAAAGGCGAATGTGACCTCTGGATGTATAGAGAGGGGAATAGTGAGTAGGAGTAGAGAGGTTATATCACATCTGTATTTGGCACTCGTTTGAACACTGCTGGAATCCTGTGTCCAATTCTGGTGTCCACACTTCAAGAAGGATGTGGATACATTGGAAAGACTGTTGAGAGAAGAGCCATGAGAATGACTGACTCATGGGAAAACATGCTGTGATAAATGAAGGGGGTGGGGAGTAAACTCCTTTTTATGGACACCCAGCCAGCCAGTTAGCTATAAAATCCCTCTTAGTAGCTGTTCTCTACTTGCTTTACCTGTAAAAGGTTAAAGAGTCTCACTGCTATGCATAGGTAAAAGCAGGGTCGGCTCCAGGCACCAGCGAACCAAGCAGGTGCTTGAGGCGGGCAATGTAAAGGGGCGGCAGGACGTTGGGCTCTGGGACAGCAATCCGCCCTCTGCGGCAGCGGGAATTTGGCGGCAGGGACATGACTCTTCTTCGGTCGCTGGCAGCAATTCGGCGGCCGCACCATCACTCCGCCTCTGTGTTCGGCAGGCAGGACTCCGCCTCCATGTTCGGCGGCAAATTGTTGTTTTTTTTGCCACTTGGGGCAGCAAAAACACTGGAGCCGGCCCTGGGTAAAAGGACAGGAGTGGGCACCTGACCAAAAGAGCCAATGGGAAGGCTAGAACATTTTAAAATTGAGAAAAACTTCCCCTTTGTCTGTCTGTGGTTGTTCTCCCGGGGAGAGGGCCAGGACAGCAACTAAGCATAAAAAGCTTGGGCCAGGTATGAAAAATGATCAGATCAAACCAAGAAACTACTCATTTGAAACCCCAGATATGTAAGTGGATCAGGAAATGTCTAGAAAGACGTGATCAGGTTTATTTCTTATTTCTTTATGGCTTGTGGATTCCTCTGTGCTAACTCCAGGTGCTTTTGTTTTGCTTGTAACCTTTAAGTTGGACCTCAAGAAAGCTATTTTTGGTGCTTAATCCTTGTATTTTCTCTCTTAAAATCTAGCAATAGCCTGAGTTTTCAGATGTATTTTTATTTATTTATTTATTAATAAAATTTACCTTTCTTTAAGAACAGGATTGAAGTTCTGTGTCTTACGAGGTTTGAGTATGTGGTTTTTTTGTTTGTTTTTTTTTATTAGCTAGTGGAAACAGATGATTTCTTTTTTTCTTTTCTTTCTCAGCTCTTCCCTGGGGGTGCAGGTGAAAGGGCTTGAGGGTGCCCCACAGGAAGGAATTCCCAAGTGTGCCTTCCTGGGCTCTCAAAGGGATTCTGCACTTGGGTGTAAGCTTTCGTGAGCTACAGCTCACTTCATCGGATGCATACTGTGGAAAGTGTAGAAGATCTTTTTATATACACACAAAGCATGAAAAAATACCCCCTCCCACCCCACTCTCCTGCTGCTAATAGCTTATCTAAAGTGATCACTCTCCTTACAATGTGTATGATAATGAAGGTGGGCCATTTCCAGCACAAATCCAGGGTTTAACTATAATGTCTGAGGAGGTGGGGGGGGGGGATAGGAAAAAACAAGGGGAAATAGGTTACCTTGCATAATGACTTAGCCACTCCCAGTCTCTATTCAAGCCTAAGTTAATTGTATCCAATTTGCAAATGAATTCCAATTCAACAGTTTCTCGCTGGAGTCTGGATTTGAAGTTTTTTTATTGTAATATAGCAACTTTCATGTCTGTAATCGCGGGACCAGAGAGATTGAAGTGTTCTCCGACTGGTTTATGAATGTTATAATTCTTGACATCTGATTTGTGTCCATTTATTCTTTTGCGTAGAGACTGTCCAGTTTGACCAATGTACATAGCAGAGGGGCATTGCTGGCACATGATGGCATATATCACATTGGTGGATGTGCAGGTGGGTTTGTGTATGTGTGTGTGGGGGGGTGAGAAAACCTGGATTTGTGCTGGAAATGGCCCAACTTGATTATCATACACATTGTAAGGAGAGTGATCACTTTAGATAAGCTATTAGCAGCAGGAGAGTGGGGTGGGAGGAGGTATTTTTCATGCTTTGTGTGTATATAAAAAGATCTTCTACACTTTCCACAGTATGCATCCGATGAAGTGAGCTGTAGCTCACAAAAGCTTATGCTCAAATAAATTGGTTAGTCTCTAAGGTGCCACAAGTACTCCTTTTCTTTTTGCGAATACAGACTAACACGGCTGTTACTCTGAAACCTGCACTTGGGTGGTGGCAGCATCTACCAATCCAAGGTCAGAGAGAAGCTTTAACCTTGGGAGTTTAATTCAAGCCTGGAGCGGCCAGTGTTAATTTTTAGAATCCTTGCGGGCCCCCATCTTCTGCCCTCGAAGTGCCAGAGTGAGGAATCAGCCTTGACACATGCCATGTAGTGAAATTCTTAAGGAGCTCAATCTATTTAACTTCTCAAAGAGATGAAGGGGTGGGTGATGATCACAACATATAACTACCTACATGGACATTAGCAGACAAAGGTATAACTTGACACAACAGCGGGAAGTTAAAGGTAGATTAATTCAGACTAGAAATAAGGTGCAAATTTTTAACAGTGATAGTAATTAACTATTGGAACAATTTACCAAGGAATGTGGTGGATCCTCCATCACTGGAGATTTTTAAATCAAGATGGGATGTTTTCCTAAAAAATATGCTCAAACTCCAGCACAGCTCTTGGCCTTGTCACAAGTTTTAATACAGGGAAGTTCGATGACTTGTGTTATGCAGGAGGTCAGCCTAGATAATCACAGTGGTCCAGTCAAGTCTTAAAAGCCATGCATGCCCTAGCTAACCTCAGAGGCCATGCACTCACATTTGCAACTGAGCCTTGGAGCTGTTACCCAG